CAGGCAGCTCCTTTTAGACTTTCTTGGAATGAAACTTTTGAAATTGAAATTTTGACTAATTGTCTTTGTACATTTTTAGATTAGACAGCAAAAACCGCAACTTTTTATAACAGAACATTTTTACGATTCACAATAATTAGGAATATTTATTTACAATATTCATATTGCACATTGAAATAAGTTTATTATATTTTTACTGTCATCAATGAATAAATCAGACTTAAAAAAAAGCCCATTGTGCGTTCCCCGAAGATGTGATGTTTGGGAAAAGGCTATAAGGCGGTTAGACTTTGCTAAATTTCCTGCGAAGAAAGATATAGGAAAGAGAGATAGATAAAACGCAAAATTTGTGGCCGTAGCCATCTCTAAACACACCTCCCAGCTATCAGTCGAATGAATGAGGTACACCATATTTTGTTTTTACACTGAAAATTTGAAAATCAAAAATTGTATATCTTTCTACACGATTTTATTATATTTAGCACGGTTCAAAATAACATAACACAAAAAGATAAAAACACACAAAGGAAACAAGAAAGATCATAAAGTACATACATATGTACATAAAAGAAAATTTACTGGTTGGAGCTATTGTAGATAGCAGATACATAGATAGATTGTAGATAGATTTAGGGGAATTCCCTTTTTGTAGAAACCATTTTTTTTCTTTGTGGCAAGGTCGGCTAGCCAGTCATCCCAGGGCTGGGTGCTTCCCAAGCCCTCAGGTCGCACAATATACCAACTGATTGGACATCTCGGACAATTGAAACAACCAAAATAACCGAGCAAAAAATTGCAAACAGACTCTACTCGACAAACAATATCCCATGTACATACGTGGGCCAGGTTGAGGTGTCGGTATCTTACCTCTGACGTACCCACCCTACCGATCAGACGTGTTTGATAAAGACATTTTTTATACGCAAATCAGTTTTTCCAACGTTCCCTAATTTTAAAAGTTAAAAAACCAATCACCTATTTTTGCATACGATCAATGTCTTTTTTTACACGGTTTTTTTCAGGAACCAATCAACCGTGTAAAAATAGAATTAGGTGTACTGTCACTGGCTGAACTAAGACCCTGGAATCTAATCCAGAAAGTTCGCTTGCGAAATGCTCAGTGTATGAACTGGCACATCTTTATACTACCATATCGTAAGTGTCTGAGTTCTTTGTTCTGGCCTTCGAAGAGGTACATAATTATATGTCCCTTTCCACAGCTGTGAAATAGATTTGAGCCCTCGGAATCTCCGCCTCTATAACCTACTTCCTATAACTTTTAGGCTTGCCCTCATCGACAGCTTTAGCTTAGTCATTCTGCAGTCTGGGTATCCTACAGCCTCGAAAAAGGGGCCTAATAGTCCTAGTTTTCCCGGTCACTCGGTCAATCTCATCCGAACTGGAGCAGTGGATATCCACATTGCAGAATCGCCATCTCATAGGATAGATATGCTGGGTTCGGAGCTCGGTGGATCGACCTCCTGGGCCTGTGTTGCAGTGGGAACCCCGACCTCCCAAATGGCGTTTTTGCCTATAGGAGCCTGTGGTGCCTGCCACACTGTCGTCGTGTACTTTCTCCCCGTGCTTTCCGCTCAATAAATCAATTTCCGCAGATTGATTGATTAATAATCCAATATAAATACCTGGAGGAGTTCTTTGGATATGTATATAGCTCTACAGTTATAGATCTGAAACCATCTACAATCTGCAGAATCATCGAGATATTTTAAGTGGATTTAGGGTTGGGTTCTCCAGCACTCCATGAACATCCATGTTAATCCAATTAAAGAGTTCTTTGAGGGTTGTGATTCCTTGTTCGCCCTCGAGACAGCCCCCTGGAATGGTCTGTGCACCACCAGCCAGGAGCACACCATCTGCGTCTGGGATTTGGAGGTGTCCACCAAAACCACACCTGGATCTTGGGATGAAACCCTGAAGTTCTAAGATCCTCGCACCCTGTAGTCCGTGGCGTGTATACTGATGCCCTACCCCATGCCCGTGGTTGTCTGTGGAGGGCCTTCCAGCCACAATTCCGATGGGATGGCATTTACCACAATATCTGCCAGTATCGCCGTCACCACGAATGTCGAGAACAACTTCTGTTCCTAATTACGAATTAAAATGGCAAAGTCTCCATATTGGCTCAACATTTCTTCGCATCAATTGAGAAGGGTCATTTTTTGGGCCATAGCCAAATTTTGGACTGTCTGATGCAATATTCTGCAATGACTGTTAATGGGTTAAATGCATTTTACTTTTTTTTCGCTCAGACGGGTTTTCTGTCTCTCTCGCACGCACTCTTTGTCGTGTCGTGCAATGTTAGCGCCGTCTGGTGGAGGAGAGCCATCCATACTGACTATGTATTGGGTTTAAATGTAGAGTTGCGGTCGCCGCAGCAACTCGCAGCGTTCCCGCTCGTTTCCGGCCAATTTTTTCCGAGCCAAATTTGTGGTTGGGTTAAAATAAAATTATTTATAAAGAAAGCAAAAGTTAAATTACCCTGATATACATACATACATACATATGTAGGTGTCAAGTTTGTGTTAATGCATCAATAAGTCAATTATTTGTAGTCCAAATAATATCATAGCATATTTGGAAAGCGTTGGGAGCCGCATAAGGGAGACCCGCTGAGTGGGCTTCTACTGGAGAAGTTCCTCTGGATGGTGCCACGATAGCGGACAGTCTTTCAATCTGCACAGTGTAACGAAACGAAACACGGTAACAGTCCTAATAGTTTCATTTTAATGTGTGCGATGACATAAAAGTTACACGTTCATTTCAATTTGCTGCCAGCCTTCAGATGAGTCCTTCAACACTTGCAGGACACTCGTATATTGGATTTTTATCGGACTCCGGCATCGGCTTGCGGCGGCCTCCGGTAATTGAATTTTATTAATTGGCGGCTTGGTCGGGCCTGCCCCTGCGTGTGCTCTTGGCTATGTGGCTATGCCACCGGCCCGCCCCGTGCCAGTGTCGCAGTGTCGCAGTGTCGAGTGGGTGTGAAAATCCATTTATCCCTGGCCACTCCCAATGCTCCCAGCTGTGGCGGTGGGCCACGTGTGGTTGTTTGCCGACGCTTGCCTCTTATCGGTGTCGCCACACACGCGCCATCCCATCCCCAATCCTGGCAACCAGTCTGCCGGGCTGGCATGCCACTGAATGATAAAGAATTAGCCACCAAACTGCTGCTAATTTGATTTTGATGCTCGCGACGGGTGGCGCTGACTTTTGACTCCTTATTTTTGGGTAGTTTTGATTTGATCTGATTTGATTGCCGCTAAGCCGCTTAGTGGCATCCCATTGAGGGTTGCTCTACTCGGATCTGCCTCCCATTGCATCTCCTGTGAGTGAGCGCGCGCGGTCGATCGACTGAGAGCTGGATTAGGATTGGGTTCTCAGGCCCCAGGCTCCTGGCTCCTGGCACTGGCCCTGGCACTGGCACTGGCACTGGCACTGCCCCTGACTCTGGTCTAATGTCAATGTGATGATGATGATTATGTGATTACGTGGCGCGTGTGCCCCTGAAACCTGCTCATGAATATCAGAGGCGATTAGAGGACAGTAGCCGCTCCAGGTGAACAACCATCATTGGCTCTGGCATCAGGAGACCAGCAGGCTGTCTAGGCTCTTCTGTCAGCTGTCATTATGCAGCATATGTCATCGGCTTTCTCAACATATCATTCACATTTCGGAATCCTTCCCATAGTCTGGCTACTCCGGCAGCAGGAACTTGGCAACGATGGACGCGCCCAATGAAATCGCATACAGCCGCAATCTGCGGGATCACCGCACCAGCGGAAGGCGGCTGGAGGTCGAGAAGAAGATCGTCATCGGCAGTTTCGCGCGGCGCCTGGAGGAGCCGATCGGAGAGTGGAGTCACCACTTCCAGGTGTACCTCAGGAGCATGTACGAAAACGAGAACCCCAACGCGGCCGGTGGTCAGCGGAACCCGCAACAGCCTCGGGTGTCCGATTTTGTGTCAAAGGCCGTGTTCCGGTTTCTCGGCCCGTGCCCCGAATACGTGGAGATCGTTGAGCGTGGGCCCTTCACCGTCAGCTCCTACTGCTGCGGGAGCCTGAAGGTGATCGTCACGCTGATCTTCAGGGTACGCTACCACACCTGCGGCATTGTGCGGCACCTCATCACGGTGCCCGCCGACGGTGTCCCGCAGATTTACTCCCTCAACAAGCGGGTGCAGTCCATCATCTTTGTGAATCCGTCGCCCCGCATGAAGCGGATGCTGCGCTTCACGCCAAAGCCCATCGACCTCACAAAGGATAACCCGGATCCCGAGGAACAGGCCGAGTACCTGCAGCGCGAGCTGCGGCGCGCCCGCAAGTCCCTCCTGAAGCACCCGCGGTACTTGATCAATCCGCCAAAACGAAACAATGACACGACGACTCCATGAACCGACGACCCGACGACCCGATGACCCGACGACCCCCCGATGATCTCTGAGCGGTGGTAGTCTGCTTTCAACACCGCACTTGTTCCTGTTCGCACGGCTCAAATTACAAGTGACTCTCCAAAAATAAATTTACACCGCAACAGATTTCCTGGGTCCCTGGGTCCTGGGTCTTGTGGGGGTTGCTGGCCCCGTAGCTCCGCCCCCGCGAGTCTGCGCAGTTCCGACCTCCCCCCGGAGGCCGGACCCCAATCTTGGCTGGGACTCCCGCCGGCTTGCCCGCCGTTTGAGGAGGATGCGACAATTAGGCGTGGCATGGGACGTGAAGGGAATCCGCGTAGGCAAATTTCCGTGGAAATTTTCACGCTTTTGGAAAAGTTTTGCCGGACCTTCTTCTGGCTGTTTTTTTTTTCCTTCGCGGCCCTCGCTGCTGATAAGATCCAGGGCTTTGCCCGGAACGGAACCCCCTTTCCCTTCGCTTTCGTGGCAATCCGGCCGGACTCCGGACTCCCAGTTGGCCGAGACTTTGGTGCCTTCAGTCATTCAGTTCTCAACCATTTCTCGAAATGTTTCTAGTGCTCTAGCTATACGATTAAATTGCAAATTTTCGGTTTATTTGATTTCGCGCTGCTCTGTTTTGGGTACCAGCCAGTGCCCCCACACCCGCACCCACCAAACGCCGCACATCGCCACAGATCTCGGGTTATCGACAGGATGATGAGCTACAGGAGCGCCATGCGGCACCAGAACGTGGTCGACGACTGTCAGCGGATTAGCTGCAACAAGGGTCCGAGCAGCGCCCTCTTCCAGCTGTCCGGGCGCTGTGTGATCGTCAAGGACATCGTGCTGGGCTGCCGCATGGAGTGGAGCGACCCCGACATACCCTCCCTGTTCGACCACACCTGGTGCGTCTACCTGCGCCAGCAGGACAATGTCGGCATGGAGAAGTTCGTCCGCCGCGTCACGTTCCGGATGTCGCCGCGACTGCCGCTGCGTCTGCAGGTGGCGGACAGCGCCCCCTTCGAGATCACCGAGGTGCTGGTCACCGACTTTCCCATCGAGATGCAGGTGGAGTATACGGACCCCAAAATGACGCCCACCACCTACGTCTTCAAGGCACCCCGCCTCGCCGGTCGCACGCCCGAGGAGACGCCGGACAAGATGATCTTCGTGAATCCTTCGCCGGCCATGCGTCTCAGTCTCGCCGCGTGCAGTCTCTCCACAATGGCCACGGCCACGGGCTCCACTTCCTCGCTGCTATCTGTAGCCGGGGTCAAGAGGCTGGACGGAAAGGTCGGGGATGCGGCGGAGAAGCCCAAAAAGCCCGGGCTAGCCGTCAAGAAGCATTACCAGTGAGTGCGCCGTCCTGCGTCCTGCGTCTTGCGTCCTGCGCCCTACGTCCTGAGCCGTCCGGAATGGGCGCAGCATCCTCCCCTTTTCTGTATGCCTCGCTCTACGAGGGTTGTTTGTCGCTGGCTCTAGTCCCGCCTCCTTCGCACGGGGGATGGCTGGCTGCTGGCTGCTGGCTGTTCGCTGCTCATTTCCCTGCTGGCCTTTGAGCACTCCGGACGTCGAAAATGGCCTGGCTACCGAGCAGCTCGAACGGATCGGACAACGCGGATGAGCGGAGCACGGCCTCCAGCGCCAGCTCGGCCGCCGGCAGCAACGGCCGGCGGGAGGAGGCCAACGGCTCGCCCAGGCCGGCACCTGCCACCGCCACCGCCACTGCTTCAGCTGGAGCTGGGGCTGGGGCTCGCCAGCCGCCGGCCCTGCTGCGGCATGCCACGCCCTATCTGCAGCCCAAGACGGAGTCCATTTCGGACGGAGACGGCGACTTGTCGGACTTCTCGCTGAACGACACCGAGGAGGATGAGGAGGATCTGCGCGACTATATCGTGCTGAACGGCAATCAGGCGGATGGTAAGTGGCCTGACCCTTGCCCTGACCCTAACCCTGACCCTGACTCCTTACACTTACCGGCCTACCCGCAGGCTGTCGCTCCCTGTCCAACTCCCCGCGCAGCGGCAGTGGCTGTGGCAATCCCTTCGCCAGCTCCCGGACCTCGCCCTGTCGCAACGGACAGCTGACGGGCACGGCGAACGGCAATGGCGCCTCCGCCGGGACTGGCGGCGGCGTCCGTAAGGTGTTCACCAACACCCGCGAGCGCTGGCGCCAGCAAAACGTGTCGGGGGCCTTCGCGGAGCTGCGCAAGCTGGTACCGACGCATCCGCCGGACAAGAAGCTGTCGAAGAACGAGATCCTGCGCTCGGCCATCAAGTACATCAAGCTGCTGACCGGCATCCTCGACTGGCAACAGCGCCAGGACGGGCACGGGCTTGGGCACGGACACGGGCAAGGGCACGAGCAGAACAACAACGACAACCACATGGCCAACGGCCACGCTCCGGACGCGGCAGAGGCGTCAGCCGCTCTGTCCGCCTTCCGGCACATCAAGTGCGAGCGCCTGGACGGACACCAGCAGCAACAGCAGCAGCAGCGCAACGGTGGCAACGATCTCCTCATGATTGCCCCCGAAGCAGTCATCAAAACGGAGCTCCAGCAGCAGGCCACCACCTTCCCCGATCCCCCAGCCGCCATGACGGTGGCGGTGGCCGAGGCCCGGGTTCTGGCCGCAGTGAAGCCGACGACAGCCGCCTCGTCCAGCGGCAGGAGCAGCAAGCGGCGGGTCAAGCTGGAGGGCGGCCTCGGCCTCCCCACCGACCTGAGCGTGGTCAAGCGACGCAGGACGTAGGTGCAAAGCCGAGGATCGGCAGCAACCATCAGATAAATAATGGTATATACTAGTAAAAAACTTTTTTTTCTGTTAAATAAATTCGAGTGCGACTATTCAATGCTCGTTTGTGGCTGGGATTTGCGTTCGGGGGTCGTGAGTACCCTCTCAGGCATGGACGATCTGGCAATCGCTGGGTACACCTGTAGCATACCGGAGGAGGTCTCCCTATTGCCATAGTCCCTCTAACTCTGTGGGTCCCGATACGGTGCCCTGTCTTTGTCTCTCAGGCTCCATTATATTTCGAGCCTTCGCGATGGCCCAATCCTCAGGTGTCTACGAGGCATGGATGATCAGGTGGCCGGAGCCTCTGACTCGGCCGTGAGTACCCTCTCAGGCATGGACGATCTGGCAATCGCAGGTGTATCCCCTGTAGCATACCGGAGGATTGCCATAGTTCCCTCCGCTCATCCTGTGAGTGAGACTTTTCGAGACCTCTCGATGGCCCAATCCTCAGGTGTCGACCAGGGCTCAATGTGCTGCCTCGTGGCTATTCTTCGCAATATCTCTTGGAGCAGCACTTGACCACCCTCGATTTATGCAGATTATATGCTCGTATGAGGCCCAAAGCCTTGCCTCATCGAGCCTCAAAAAGTATGCTATGCCCGGAGCAGGTGAGCCTGTGTCTTCCTTGAATAGCCTTGAATTCTTCAGGCTGGAAAAATACTTACCTTTCGGCTAATAAGCCACAAATACGGTGAATGCAATCTGATGTACTCTCAACATACTGGCATTCACTGGTAGGCTCTTTTAGAGTGTAATATCCAGTCCCCAGGCAGTCTAGGGCACCCAAGCCGACCCGACCCGCTCTGGTTCAGGCCTGGCCAGAAACACATACCTTTGGTGCTACTTGTTTGAAATGAAACCCATGGGAAATGCAATCATTTATATATATTTTTGTTTGTAATTTTTATTGTTTTTTAATTAAGGTTGTTCTCTTTACGTTTTTATGTCGTGTTGTTCTTTGTCGCCATTTCGTATTCATTTTTCAATAATATTTTCGGGGCTTTCTTGATTTGATTTTCCACTTTTCATTTCTCATATCTCATTTTTCATTTTTCATTTGCAATTAGTTTTTTAGGGTTTCTGTTCTGTGTTTATTTGTTAGTTAAATTTAAGTTTCATTTTTGGTTTTGTTTTTTTGTTTTGGATTTGTTCTTTTTGTAAGCGAAACGTTGAAATTATTCTTCATATATAATATATACTATATATGTATGTATGCCCCTATATATATATATATATATATATATACACACATATATACTATGTATATACATATATATATATATGTATATAGTATACATGTATATCTAGATCTTTGTTTCTTAAATGTTTTTCCAAATTATATATTATTTTATTCTATTTTTCTTCGTGTGTGTGTGTGTGTGTGTGTGTGTGTGTGTGTGAGAGTTACAATAGTTATAATAAATAAAGTGTTTGCTGTATTTGGTTTACTTAGATTATTCGCTAAAAGTGTATTTTGTTTGGTGAAGGGGCAAGGGGCAAGGGGCAAGGGGCAGGGATGGGGGAATTTGGAACTTTATTTATTTATTTTTTAGTTTTTGCAGGTCTGTTGTGTGTGTGTCGGTGTGTATATATATATATATATATATATATATGTATTGTATATAACTAATTTTGTATTAGTTTTTTTTTATGGATACAAAACTCAACGTTCATTAAATTTATAAATGTATCTTTTAGTTAGTAAAAAAAAAATATATTTTGTATATGTATATGTATGCAGGGAGCTCTATGGAAATACATACAAATAGATTTGCTTTTGTTCTATTCAATCGAAATCGGTTGTTAACTGGGGGGGGGGGGGGAGAGAGGGGGCCGTAGTATGTGGTATGTGTGTACTACGTGGAGATATCCTTCAAGCAGTGCGTTCGGGGAGGGAGAGTGCAGTGAAAACCAATCATAGAGCTTTGATTAGAGGGGATGGGGGTTGTTGGGTGGAGTGTGGAGTGTGGAGTGTGAATGCTCGAAACTGCCTTAAATCTAAATTAACTTCCGCTTCCGCTTCCTCACACCAACACACTGTCACCGTGCATTGCATTTCATTTCCGTTCGTATTAAATTAGTTTAAATTGTTCAATTGCAGCTAAATGTTTTATTTGTTGATTAGTTGTACGCATAAGTATGCATCGAGACTCCTCCCCCTTCACTTTCGACCTTTAATTAGTATTTGTTTTTTGTTTTTTGGTTTTTTTTTTTGTTTTTGGTTTTTTTTTGTTTTTTTGGTTTTTGTTTAATTTAATGTTATGGGTGGCGTCGCGCGCTAAAAGCGTTTTTTTCTTACTCAATTTCATCAATTACAGAGTACGATTACGAGTACTTCCTCCTCTCCTCCTCTCCTCGTTTCCCACTCCTCCCACTGGTCTGACGTGTCCTCATCGCAAACCGACGTGTCATACGATTATAATTTGTTGTATATTTGTATTTGTATATTGTATATTGCGTTTTAACGGACTGGACTCCGAGCTCCAAGGTCCCATCTCTCTAACCTCCTCTAATCGTAGTTAATGCTAGATTTTACTTAAGAACAGGCCACCGAAAAAAACACTTTGCTAAGTGGGGCAGGGGGGGGCGGGGCAGGCCCTCCGATGGGGCGGCTGCCTGGAATGGGGTTATTGCTACTAGGATTACGACTGTTTGTTTATTTTCTTCTTGTATATATGTATATATGTATATCTGTATATATATATATATATATATATATGTGTGTTTAATCTATACCGTGTGTGTGTGGCTGTGTGTGTGTGTGTGTGTGCACTTGCGCGAGTTTAGTAAATGTTTTTTTTTTTTTAATCTTTCGGCTTCATTGTTTTAGTTTTTGCTAGTTTCCTTCTTCTGATTGCTTCATTCTCTTAGCCATTCCTCCTTCCCCACTCGCCTCTCTCTCTTGCTATTATGGAGTGCTATGCTATAACTATGTATATCTGATAGATATCCGCATAGATGCTCGTAAGACTCGTAAGTATTTTATGGTACGTTAAAGGAGACACAAAATTTTGATTTATTTCACTAAGTACCGAGTATTCCTCTCATTTGTTGTTGCCGGGCCTCGACTGTATTTTCCATTAAATTTGTTTCTCTACGTGGATGTCTTGGGGGGGGGATGGGGATGGGACGGACCCCGGGGCGTATTTTTTGGGGCGGGTCTTTGGAGCTGTTTTTCAATAATACATAATACAATATTATACTCGTAACTGGTATTTTATGCATAGTTTTAAAGTTGATTTTCTTGTTGGTTTTTTTTTTGTTGCTTTTTATGCTAAATATTTTCTCTTGCCTTTGCCTTCGCCATGCACATAGTAGCTACATATACATACAGTGGCGCCGAAAAAAATAGCACCAGTAGGGGCGACCGTCTTTATTCGTTCAAAACAAGACCACTGTCCAACATTTGCTGGACTTTACTGCAATATAATGTAGCTTTATATGTCTCCTCTCTGAGAGAAGTGTGCTTACTCTCTCAATTCTAACGGTTCTTATAACTTTAGGCAATTTTGCGAAAGAGGAGCGAAATGGAGCACCAACAAAAATAGCACCAGTAACAGTTTTATGTAAAAGCTTCTACTTTTCTGAGCTTATTGATATTTTAAGTTCTTGATTGAATTAAAAATCGGTGGCTTTAGGTGATTGGGACAAGAAAGTTACAAAATTTAAGTATTTATGGGTCTTGGAAAGCACTAAAGTGAAGAAAAAAGCCAAAGGATCAAAACTTTCATTTCAGAAGGCAGGACCTATGCTAAGGTGGGGCAAATTGTCGGTTGTTCAAAAGAAATTATTAGCAATGCTTTTAAATATGTTTCCAACAAGAAACACGTGGAAGAAAGGCCGCGATATTCCCATTTCTGGTAAAACTACTGGTTCGTGAGAGCAAGGAGGACCCATTTAAGTCGGCCACAGAGCTAAAGAAAGGATCTTAAAAAATCGTCAAGTACCAGGAAAGTTAGATCTTGTATACAAGAACGTAAAATGGGTACTCGTAGTACGAGGAAGATTCCACTTTTCACGGAAAGGCATGGGGCAAAAAAAGTTTGGTGTGCAAAGTAGCACTAAAGTTGGGCCAAAGAAAATGGAGAAACATCCTGTGGTCCGACTAAAGCCAAAATTTATTTTTTGGTGTAAAAGGGTCTTGTTCTTGTGTGAAACGACTACCGAATGCAGAATACAACCCCCTGACTCACATGTAAATTCATTAGACATAGAAAAGCAAGCAAAATCGTATGGGCATGATTTTCGTACTAAGTAGGTAATCCAATACATGGCTCAACCCCATTATGGATCAACATGTCTATGTCAATATCAAAGAAACAGTGATTCTGCTTTATGCAGAATACGAAATAGAGTTGTTTTGTAACTTCCATCAGGAAAATCACCCAAAACGAACTAGAAAGAAAGCTCGAAAGTGGTTCGAGCACAATTCACTTAATGCAATAGATTGGCCTGTTCAGTCTCCAGACTTGAACCCCATTGCTAATATTTTGGGTCAAGTTAAAAAATATGTTTCTAATGCGGAATCAAAGAACAATAAATATGTTTGGGGCATCCTGCATGGTTCGTGGATCAATATCCCAAGGGAAAGATGCGAAAATTAGGTGAGCTTTAATGCCGATATGTTGGGCTGCTGTTGTTGCTGCCAAAGGTTTTACAACAAAACGCCAACCTTTAAATACAACTAAACTAACATATTTTACAAAAAAATTTGGAAAGTTTCTTTGCATTTTAAAGTTTTTTGATTTCTTTGTAAATTGGTGCTATTTTTGTTGGTGCCCAAATTTCTGATAAAATCCTATTCTTTTAAAATTTTCTTACTTGGACTTTACAAATTATACCAGTGCTCTGGGATACGATAAATTATACCATAAAGTTTATATATTAGTCTTAACAACGTTCATTAGAACCATTGCTTAAGCAAAATCCGTCAATATAGACACATTAGTCCACTGGTGCTATTTTTTTCGGCGCAGCTGTACATACATGTGTGTGTGTGTGGCTGTGTGTGTGTTCTTGGGTGTTTCGGTGTGTCAGTGTAGCTGTGGTCGTGTGTGTGTGTGTGTGTGTGTGTGTGATTGGCTGAGGCTCTGTTGCCATCACGCTCCGTTACCTATGCTGAATGCTGCGAAAAAAAAAATAACTTAGGCCTGCTCCAACCCTGAGAGCGAGCGAGAGCGAACAAAACATACATATGCGAATAACAGTACAGTACGCTGTAGAAAGAGCATTTTACATTAACAGAGCGCAGCTGTTGCGCTAACCGGACGCTGCTGCTGCTTCTGCCTCGGTCTCTGCTGCTGCTGCTGCTGCTGTAGCACCATTCTCGTCCCCTCCTGCAGCGGCCGGCGTTGCGGCACTGCCTCCTGTGCCGCCTGCTGCTGTAGTCTCCCCGTTTCCGCTGCCGCTGCCGTTACCGTTACCGTTACCGTTACCATTGGCTGTACCGCTGCTGTTCAGAGCGCTGTTAGACTGAGAGCCTGCGATGGTTTTAGGGGATGTGGAATATCGATATATTAGTATTCTATTTATTATTTTTTGAGTAAATATAAAGTCTTAGAGGTTATATTTTAATTGGTAGGTGATAGTGTTTTTCTTAAAAATTGGAATTTGATGATGTAGAGCGAAGCCGATGAGAGAGACCTGCAATGCAAGAGTGTCACTGCAGAAGAAAGGGCAGACAAGACAGAAGCAGAAGTGACACCGTAAGAGGCAAGGCATACTTTTATGGGGTGTGGCATGGGCCTCACCTTGCACAAACACACCCACCTTGGGTGAGAGACGGAAGGAGTGGCCAGAGTACATAGTAGGACGAATAGAGAGAGAACGAAGCGACGCCAACGGTGGTTTCGTTCGGAATGGAACGATCGATACCCACAATTGTATCGGCAGTGTCATCGTTTTCATCGATACGCGCCGCCGCGCCGCCCCGCCGCCACCCATGCACCATGCACACGACGACGAAAACAATAGATAGAAACCAATAAATCGCACACACAATAAAAATGATATGGGTAAAAAGGAAAGGCAACGAAACGGGTATACTTTCGTTTAAATATTGTATTTGTTTCTCTTTTCTTTTATTTGTTGTATTTGTTGTATTCGTTTATTATCAGTATCAGTATCAGTATCATTATACGGTTCTCAGCCACTGCTCATTCTTGCTTTCGCATCAATTATCATCAACGGTTCTATATATTATCATGATTATTACCACCATCGCAAGTACAATGTCAGAGTATGCGTGTGTATAGCTTTATTACTTTTTCTTTTGCTCTTCTTTCTGGTTTTATGTAATTAGGAGTTTTAAAAATAATGTATGTAAATGTTTTGAGTTTATTGTTCTTTTTTTTTTGTTGTATTTTTTTCTTTTTAGGTTTTCTCTGTTGTAGTGGATCTAAAGTACTAGGAAAAGTGTTGCTTTTTTTTTTTTTTTTAGTTTTAGTTGTGTATTCATTAATCGTTTATAATTAGCGTAATTATTAGTTTAAGGTCGGTTATAATAAACTATATAAATAAATATATACGGTTTTTAGCGAATTTCTCTTTCGTACATCCTTGTTTTTTCGCTTATGTATGTATATTTTGTTTTATGCTATTGCTCTCGTGCAAATTGTCGATAAACGATAAAACATTAAAAAAAAAACTTTTAAAGCAGGCTGGCAGGGCTAGCCCAGACCATCTCTGACTGTACCCAGGGCCTCGATTGAAGCGGCTGGGTGTAAGGCCTTAAGGGGAGCGGAGCGGAGCGTGGGCGCGGAGCGTGGGCGCGGGGCGTGGGGCGAGGAGGAGGATGTGACGAGGCAAGGCGACACTGACTACGAACTAATGCGGCTACAATTAGATTAGAGTAACAGTTACAGTTTATATTCAGCGAGCGACTATTAGCGGGCAATCATCGACCGATCATCACCAATCGGATCATCGATCAGTCGAACAATCGACCGACAATTTGACTTTATCTACATATTGCAACTAAACCGTTGGTTCTCGGATCCACACACATGGCTATACTGTATGTACGTGCGATCTACCCTATCCACCACATCCATGGATCTCAATGATCTGCTCAATCGGATTCCTCATCATCAGAGACCCTTTACATTTCCACGTCTATTACAATTTCAATTTCAACTCGACTAATTGCTAAATAATAATACATACATACATAAGTTAAGGTATACATCCGTATATATGTATATATACATATGTGTGCACACACACCGTAATGAATGCGTGTATAAATATTCATATTAAAAACAAATATATCTGCATCTGTATCTGCATCTGTATATGTGCTGTTGGTTGTATGTATGTATAATTTGTTCAAACAATTGAATATCTTTTGCTTGTTTTTTTTTTGTTTTTGTTTTTGTTTAATTAATGCATTTTATGTGTTTTTATTTATTACAAAATAATAATAATAATTATTTTAATAAAAATAAAAATAATTTATTTATTTAATCTGTATGTATACATAATGCGTGTTGCAAAAAAAAAATATTTCTTTATATTCATATATACATATACATATGTATATATATATGAATGTATACATATATATATACATAGTTTGTGTATGTATAATTTTTGTTTTTTGCTTTTAATCAGTTTTCCACTAACTTTAAGGTTTAACATAACATTAACATTAACATTAACATTAACATTATGCTTCTGCTTTAGCTTTCTCCTCTTCCTCCTTCCATCTCTGCTTTTGCTTTGTCAGGGGCCTACTGTACTTTTGCAGTCATTTCATGGTATTTTCTGTGCTATTATGAATATCAATTGAATTTGTTTAAAACGTGCGGCTCTGTGGCCCAGCTTTCGCTACGAGACTTTCTTTAATTACCTTTATTTATGGACTTTCTTCTTAAAACATATTAAAAACAAATTGGTAAAAGTAATGCACAATGACTCTGCTCAAAATACATGTATATATCTATGTATATGTATGTATAGGCATATATAAATAATTAGTTGGTGCATCGACAATTTCTTGTAATCATTCCTAGTGCTTTAAAAATTGTTTAAAAAAAAACAAAAAAAATAATTACACAAAGATCGAGAGAGAGAGAAAAGGCAGAAGAATCGATTGAATAAAAGAAATCAGGACGCCAGGTGACGGGGATTATAATTATTTGGGTAGTGGGAAGGGGTGGGGGGGGGGGGGGGGGGGCGGGGGTTTGTATAATCATCAATCATTAATCATCATTATCATTATTTTAATGATGTAGTGTTTTTTATTATTATTATTGTTATGCTTATTAGTTTTTATTTTAGATTTAAAATAAATCGAATTTTACCTAGGTAAAATATTGTTTTCTCTTTTTTTGTTTTTTGTTTTTTGTTGTTATATAAATTTTTGCTGCGATCTTTTTACGATATACGTTTTATTTGTATTATTATTTTTAATTTAACTTCTACTTCTACCACTTCCACTTCTTCTTCTTCGGCTTCTTGTTCCTTTTCAGTTTCCGTTTCCGTTTCTGTTTCCACTTCCACTTCCTCTTCAGATCTGATGATGCTCGAAGCGGGGCGGGGGGCGGGTGTGTGGGGCTCGGGGGCTTGCTTGAGTTGTCGTGTTTTGGATTGATTCTCTCAACGATTGCAATTTATTGAACATTTATGAATATAACTTCTATATGTATAATTGTGTATTGTTTTTGTTTTTGTTTTTGTTTTGATGTTGGTTTGCATCCCTCCGTTATCGGTTATCGGTTAACGGTTATCGTTTATCGTTTATAGTTTATAGTTATAATATATATAATTTTTATTGTGGTTCTTGTTGTTTGTTTGATTGTGTGTGTGTGTGTGTGTGTGTGTTTCTAGGGTTCTTTTTATATATATTTATTACTCTATATATATATATATACACATGCTGATATATATATATAGGTAGTACATGTGTGTGTGTGTGTTTGTTTGTTTGTATGATACTATCGTCCCTATGAATCTGTAAATAAAACAAAAAAAAGGAAGAAAAATCAAAACAAAATTAAAATCATAAGCGTTTTTTTTTTGTTTTTTTTTTTAAATTGAAATTAAAATAAAAATACACATCATACGCAATCAATCGTTCTGCTCGACAAATGAAATTAGAATAGAATCCACCCACGAAATATGGAGAGCCGACGATGGAACAGCCCAAGGTCCGCGATCAGAAAGGAATGGGGTCAAATGGGGGTAACAACAGTTTATTGGGGGGCAAATCCATCAAATGCTTTCAATTTGGACTTCGAACTGGGAGGCGGAAGGGCGGCGTGGCGGAAGGGTGTTGCCCGTCCGTTCCGATTGAGCCCTTCTTGAATTGAGGTGGAGACGAGACTCTTGAACTCTTGACTGTCTTGGGCTTGAACTGTCGGAAGGATGGGTCTTGATCTGCGGATGGCCTGGCACGCGAAGGACCCCGCCTCTGTGGCTCTGTATGGATTCTTGTGGATTCTTGTGGATTCTTGGATCGAATGCTATTGTATTGTGTGATGGATGACCGGCATAGCTATGGTTATCGACATTTGCTGACCTGCCTGAGGCGTGGCGCCTTCAGACTCTTGCGCAGCCCCCTCAGTGCGGCTGGGTGCAGTCCATGCTCCACTAAGCACGGGTGACCATCGCAGGAGGGGGGTGGGAAGAGTGGAGGGGAAGGAATACAGTGGGGGGACAGGGCGAGGGATGGCCAACGCTCACTCACCTGTCACGTTGGCGCCACCAGCATTGGTCGCAGCTATGGAGCCGGCTGCAGTGGCAGCACCCGCCGCACCACCGCCGCCGCCACCACCGCCGGCGGCTGCAGGGCCGCCGGCATTTGCCTGCTGGGCAGCCGGGGCAGCCGCCACGGCGGACGGCGCACCGGAGCCGGGATTGCTATTGTTTCCTTGACCGCCGGCACTCGAGCCGGTCGCCGGTCCGCCGACGGACGAAGCGGCTCCTCCTGCTCCCGACCCGGAACCGACTACTGACGATCCAGATGTCCCGCCAGCCTGGGCCAAGGCGGCACCGTCCGCCGAGGCGCCGCTGCCCGTTGAGGAGACGCTGGTGGAGCCGCTCACAGCACCGGCAGCTGCTGGGCCGCCGCCCGACGAGCGATTGGCCAGATGCTTTGGCAACAACTGCGGCACTAAGCTGGGCTGTATCGAGAGCTCTGCGGGTAGGGTGGAGGGAATCAAATTGTTAGAACGATCTGCATCTGCATCTGTATCTGTGTGTGGATCGGAATCTTACCGTGATCTGTGAAGTTGAATAGCGGCGGCATGTCGCGGCCATTGGGCAAGGTGTGGTTCCCCTCGAGGCGCAGCTCATCGAAGAACGGATGTGCACAGGCCTTCAGTGGTGTGATCCGAGCGCTGGGCGTGTACTCGAGCAGCAGGGACACCAAGTTGATAGCTTCTGTCGGAGTGCGTATACGGAAAACCTGTGGGAGTCGCAGGAGAATGATCGCATTAGTGATTGCCGACTGCTGGGTGGCGTTTGGGGACACTTGACTGGATTGGCGGCAAATCTCACGAGGAAAAACAACAGAAACAGAACTCGAATCGGCAGGACAGAACAAGACATGGCGGAGCTGGGGCAGGACTGGGTAGTAGCACAATCATCGCTGGAGGACAGGACACATTGCGATGCACTTGAGGCAGTGGGACAGTGAGACAGCTGGAGCTGAGGAGCTGCAACAGCAGCTGGACAGTTGGACAGTTGGACAGGCGGGGGATGGGGCAAGAAACAAGGAAAATAAAGGCATCTTGAGCCGTAAGCGGTACGGAATCGAAGCTTTGAAAGCAGTTTGGAGGCGTTTGTGGCGCGGGCTATGGGCTGCGAATGGGAAATGCACTACAGCTCGAAGACACTATGCTTTTCGGCACGAGTCCTCCCCTTATTCAATCTCCTGGCATCTCGTGGCATCCCTTGACATCTCGTGGGATCTCCTGGGATCTCCTGGCATCTCCTGGTGCGAGATTTCCTACTCTAGCAATCTGGTCTCAGTCTGTAAATGATCCAATGTGATTCGTCATGCACACGACATGTATTTTTCTTTTGTTTTGCCTTCTTTTTTTTTGTCTGGCGTCGATTGTGGATGAACAAATCTCAGAGCAGCCCCGGAGAAAGAAGACTTCATTCTTTCGTGGCTAGAGCCTCTCAAAAAAAAGATTACTCGTTCAACAGTTTCCCCAAACTAACCTCATGGACAAAACAACACAAAAAGAAGCCCAGAAATGATTGATGGTTCGAATATGTACAATCGAATAGAATGCAATGCAATGCAAATGTTATATGGTGGCATATTCCGGCATTCACGGGGCTGGCTTTGCTCTTAGACCTTAGATCTTTGCATTTTAATTTGCATTTGCATGGTTTTGGTTTGAATTTTGGTTTCATTTCGTGGCTTACTCTCAATCGTTGTTTCTGGTTTAGGGCGTTTGGAAATTGGGTGCGTTCGAGTAGTGACTGCAACGAGTTTTTATGTACACATTGATTATATATATATACACGCACACACAACGAGAGGGGTGTCAGCTTTTAGGGAACAGATTACAAGAGCGGGTGGAGTGGACAGCGAGAACCGAAGAACATCGACCAGCAGCACCGTCCAAGAACGAGAGACGAGATTTGGGACATCGGATGCGGATGCGGATGCGGATGCGACACTTACTTTCTGCCATGGATGACTCTTAATTTGTGGGAACTTGAATTCCGTGTAGTTTGGATTCATTTCGCGTATTTGTTCTCTTGTCGGTGTGCCCAAAACCTTGATGACCTCGACCAGCTGATCGACACCAGAGTCGCCAGGGAAGATTGGCTGGCCCAGCAGCAGTTCGGCCAGAACGCAGCCGGCACTCCACACATCTAACGAGAGGGGCAGAGAGAGAGAGAGAGAGAGAGAGAGAGAGAGATTAATATGGCTATACATGTAGATATCGAGTAGTTTATGTGCACTCACCGATCTTTGTTGTATAGTTAATGGCGCCGAATATTAGCTCGGGTGCGCGATAATACCGGGAGCAGATGTACGAGACATTCGGCTCACCGTGGAGCAGCTGCTTGGCGCTGCCAAAGTCACAGAGCTTCAGCACGGCCGTTTCGGGATCGAGCAGTAGATTCTGTGGCTTGATATCACGATGGCAGATGCCCAGCGAATGGATGTAGGCCAAACTTCTAAACAGTTGATACATGTAGAGCTGTGTGTGGAGGAGCACGGGCATTAGAGAGAGAGGGATCTGTGTGTGGAGTATGGAATGCTTACCCGAATAAAGTTGATTGGTATCGTTTGCTTGGTTTTGGCATATTGGCGAGCCACTTTGTATACGGTTTCTGGTATATATTCGAGGACTAAATTCAAAAATACTTCATCTCGCTGTCGGTTGGGATATAGACACAAGATACAGAGAAGAGTAATCGATTAGTTGGGCTTTCTGCTTCGTCGTTTGTCGAGAGTTTTGTTTAGTCTGCGAGGAGTAGTGTCTGTCTGCGTGTGTCTGAGCGTGTATGAGCGATGGATACATCATGGATATCGATAGCATACACACATACAGAGGGCGGGAGGGTAAGGATGGGATGGTGGATGGGTTTGGGATCGATTTGGGATCGGGACAGGTTGGTTGACCGATGATTTTGCGATTTCGCATGCGTCAATAGGTACAGTTGGTGACAAAAACACACACATATGTATCTAGCAGATAGCACATAGCAGAGAGAGTAGCGGAGCAGGGTATAGGGGGGCGGGATAGTGAGAGAGTGAGCGAGAGAGAGAGAGAGAGAGAGAGAGAGAGAGGGAGAGAGAGAGGGAGAGAGAGATACCATGCGGCGTACTCTTCTGTATAAGTTCACTGTACGTTTCTCTTTCTTTTCTTTTCTTTCTTTTCTTTTTTTGTTTAGCAGGGATTTATATGAGAGATACGATAGATAGATAGAGATAGAGATAGATGGAGAGAGGGATATAGATTGATAGATGGATAGAGGGATATAGATTGATAGATGGATAGATGGATAGATAGATAGATAGATAGAGATATATATATAGAGAGAGAGAGAGAGAATTGTATGACCAGTGGAATGAGATCGAGAGATCAGAGAAAAGGCTCTTTCCAGAATTAGAGATTACGAGAAAAGATACCTGGGGCTTGAGCACACTGGCAAATATTCCCAAATCGATGGGAAATTCAGCCAACTTGAGCAAGTAGTTTTTCGGTTTTTTGGAATATGAAAATGAAAGAGATTTATATAACACAATTCACAATTTGGTAAGACTTTAAGATAGATTTTAAGAACGGGCTTTTTTCTTTTCCTTTTTTCCACACCACTCCCCCTCCATCCCCCACCCCCTCGTTCAGTTCCCACCCCCCCAGACCTTTCTAAAGCCACAAGCTAGAAGGAGGCACTCTCAAGGATCACAGCGATCGAAGGAGGAGGACTGGGACACTCACCTTTTCACCGCTCGAATAGAAAAAGTACAAAAGCTTCACAATATTACAATGCTCCAGCTTCCGCATTATTTGCAATTCGCGATTCTATAAAGGAATACAGAGAATATATATCAAATATGCAGATTATACAGAGGTATGGACTCGGGTTTACGTACCTTAAATCGTCTGTCTTGTAGAACTTTTTTGATTGCCACCAGTTCGCCGGTGTCGCAGAGCTTGGCCTGGAATACCACACCGAAGCTGCCATTGCCGATGACCTTTGTGTCTGTGTAGGAGACCTCTTGTACGCGATCGGTGCCCTGGCCGGGTGTTGCAACAACTGTTGTAATTTTGGAACCATCGCGACCTGTTTTTGTGGAGGAGAAAGACGGAGGGAGAGTATGTCAGTATTATGTGCCATTAAATGTGAAATGCGAAAGATATCCCTTATATAATCCCCTCCATTGGTGATCCCATAAAACCCACCCACACACACACACACCCCCAAAGAGAGAGAGAGAGAGAGAGAGAGAGAGAGTACCTGTCGTCTCCCAGGCGCCCTCCAGCTTCTCCTTGCTCTTATCGACCTCCTTTGGAATGGACAATGCGACGCTGTGCTCGGGCCACAAATCATTCAATTTGCCGATCAATTGCTTCATGCCTAATCGGAGGGATCGATATATATCAGATACAGATATCAGAAACAGAGGAGAACAGAAAACGAGGGAAAGGAAGTGTGTTCCAGTTCCACTATTCCAATATTGCGGGGAGCACGAAAAGCGGCCACACTCGATTGGAACCGTGGAAACGAAACACCAACAGCGAGACAGAGACAGGGAGAGAAGGAGCGAATGCAGAGGAAGATTAGAAAGATAAAATGGAAAACTGGAGAAGGACATCGACTGATCATCTTGATCCCCTTCATTCCAACCGATCTGCACACACACACACATATATATATACATATATATATATATATATATATATATATGCATGTGAATGAATGATATGAAGGTCTGCCTTCTGGCTTCTGGCTTCTGCCTTCCGATTCTTTTCGCATTTGTTTTTTCTAATTAATTTTGGCATTAGCGCCAAACTGTCGACGGTGGCAGCTGCTGCATCGCATCTGCCCCCCCGTCCCCCAGCCTCTGCGCGGGGCGACACATTTCAGGTTCAGGTTGTGTGGCAGGCGACGGCGACATCGACATGCAGGAGAGTGAGCTGTGATGGACTTGGACTAAGGACAAGGGTTACGGAGCGGCAGGGCAGGACGGGGCGGGACATCTGGGGGTTCTCTCCTGTACTTGGATCCTTGTACTGCTTGCCACCAACACTGGCCGTGCTGGCGCTGGCCGAGGACGAGCTCTTGGTGCTCTTCTTAAGGGCCGCCAACGACGAGGAGCAGGTGGAAGCCGCCGCAACAGCTGCTGCCGAAAGGGACTTCGGTTTTTTCTTGCCATTCGCATTGGCGGCATTGCGCCGCCGTCGCACATCCGATGGCGACGACGAGGAGTTGGAGCTGGCCGACGAGGAGGACGTTGACGCTCCCGTGGAAGAGGAGCAGCCCTCCGAGGACGAGGCGGAGCTTGAGGCCTCCGAGGAGGAGTGACTGCTGGAGTTGCTCGAGGAGCTGTTGTCGTCGCTGTCGTTCGAATCGCTCGAGGATCGACGCTCCTTATCCTTCCGCTGGCGCTGTTGCACGGCCTCGGCTGCTGCTGCCGCCGCTGGCGGGGCACCCTTTGAGGGCGTCGCGTTGCCATTGGGCCCAATGCCGCTTCCGCTGCCCGTCGATGGACGCCGCTTGATCTTGGCCGCCTTGGCGGGCGGCTTGCGTGGCGGCATCGGTGTCCAGGGTCGACTGCTGCTGGCCCCCGGCGCTCCTGCTGCCTTCGCCTCATCGATCGAGATTGGGATGGCCATGGAGATGGAGTTCTGTCTGCCCGAGGCTGCTCCCGAGCTGGTCGCCGTATCGGCGCCCGCACCACCGCCGTCCGACTCGCTGGCATCGTTGATCGAGGCAGAGGCAGACTCCGTGCCAGTGCCAGTGCCAGTGCCTGTGCCTGTGCCAGGGCCCGTGCCCGTCGCCCGCTTCTTTTTTCGCACCACGCGTACCACTTTGCGGACACGCGGCACCGCCATGGGCACCACCTGTGACCTATCCACCTTGAGACCGAGGAGCACCGCCGCACGACGCTGAAACACTGAGCCACTGCTGCTGCTGCAGGTTCAGCTGCTGCTGTTTTGGCCTAGTTTTTGTTGCTTTTTCTCGCTTCAGTCACTTGACTTGACCAACTTTTGCACCGACACCATCGACACCATCGACAGCACCGCTGTGACCGCTGATCGGTTGACGTTTCTTTCGCTTTGTTCTGATCAATCGATCAAAAGATCCGTTCCGATCCGAACGGATCGATCTTCAAATAGAAAAAACAGATAGAGCGAGAGAGGGAGTGTGTGAGAGAGAGAGAGAGACACTTAAATAGCACGAATTCGAATTCGGGTTATTTTCGTTGGAGGTTTGTTTCACTTTTATCGATCTATATCTATAAATATATAGATGTGTGTATCTTTGGCGGCTATATTGATCCGATCTGAACCGTTCTGTTATGTTTTTGTCTCTGCTTTCTGCTTTCTGCTTTCCGTTCCGATCCGATCCGAACCGATCGCTCGAACTTCCGTTGCACAATTGGCCACAGATCTGCCATATCTCGCAGTCAGTATCGCTCTATATCTCTGGCCACGACGACGAACGGCCCGAGGCTCGGTCAAAGGGGTTCGGGTTTTGGGTTCGGGCACCCACCCACCCACAAGACGGAATCCCCTGCGCGTTTAAGCTGCGGCACGCACTTGGGCGCTCGAAGAAAATTGATCATAATTATTTCGGCAATTTGTTGTTTTGCTGAAATTTAATTGCCGCAAAATCTCAGCGAATCTCTGGGAATGCCACAAAACGATAAGGCAAGGTCGGGAGAATGGGGAATGGTGAACGGTTCGGCCAGATAGATAGATACAGAGATACAAAGACAGATACCGATGAATGGCACAAGACAGAAGACGAACAGCGGCAGTCAGGTGAAGCCAAGCATGCGACACAGCAGCCACGCCCCTTTGGCCACCAATCTAGAGAGGCGGCAGTTCTCTGACAGCTCAATGCAAGAACAAGAAGCAACAGAGACAGCGGCGGCAACAGAGAACAAGAAGAAGATTCAGTTGAAGACGCAAAAGAAGGAGAAGAAGGAAACGACTTGGAGGAGGAGAAAGCCGTAGGACGGCGGAAAGCAGTAGCGTGGGAAAGGCGGTAGAGTGCGCAGTGGAGTAAGCAGTAGAGTAAGCAGTAGAGTGAGCAGTAGAGTGAGCTGTACACTAGGCAGTAGAGTAAGCAGTAAAATAAACATTAGGACATTTTTAAGCTAAAGCAGAGCAGCATAGTGTTGGCAAGCAGTGCAACATATACAAATGTGCATATGTCGTAAAAGAAAAGAAGAATCCAATCCACCAAAGCAGTAGAGAAGCTGTCAGCGGGGTGGATGACAAGCAAGCAGTAGAAAAAGCAGTATAATCAATTAATTAGGCAGGGAAAGAAGCAGTAGAAGATTGATAGCAGAGACCGTTGAAGAAGCAGTAGAACAAAATAAAATACGTAGAATAAAGCAGTATAAGAGAGGAAAGCAGTGCACTAGAAGGGTAAAAACCGTGCACAAGAAGGGTAGAAACAGTATATATGTATGGATTTTCTATGTATGTGTGTGTGGTAGATGTAAAGCAGTACCAAGCAGTTAGACCTCGTTGGTTAGGCAGTGATAATCAACAAGCAGTAGAATACGAACGAAAAGACAAAGCACTAGAGCAAAAAAAAAGTCCAAAGACAGGCAGGAGGACGAGGCGTAACGGAATGGAACGGAATGGAACGGAACGTAACGGAAGAAATGCAATCTGCCATCGAAATTTATTTAATTTTAATGAATCAATTAAGAGACATAAATCAACTCAAATCAAATCGAAATATATATACTCGGAACGAAATAAACGTAGAAAAAGCGAAACCGAAAGGCAGGCCGAAAGCAGATTTAACCCTTGGCATGGCATTGGCATTGTTCTTCATACAGAGATGTGGCACGTATCTGTAGAGGCGCTACAAGAATGTGTTCCACAGAGTGACATCAGAAAGAGAACAGAGATCAGGGCAGGGCAGGGCAGGAAAGGGCAGGGCAGGGCAGGGCCATTCTCCGCATACTCCTCGAATGAAGCGACAATCGGGAATGGATAGTCCACAAATCGGTTAGCTAGGGGCTCCCCCTTGCTGCCTTCTTCCCAGTTCGTTCCCTTTGGCAGCCTTCACTCGAGTCGCGGATCGATGTTCCACTTCCATGACGCTTCCCGTTTCGATCCGCTGCGAACTGGCGGCGGCAATCGTCTAAATATTCCTGTAGTCTTCCTGGTGTTCAATCAATTAATCAATTGCCTATTCAGGAGTGCAAGACATTAACGATTTATGCAGCAGCTGAATCAATCAAGTCATCAGAAGAGCGCACAAACATGGTCTATGGCCGAGGGAATGCCACTGTGGGATACCCTTTCTTTCGTCGAATACTCCGTGGTATCGGGCCTCGGAGTGGGGGCCAGGGAATGGGCTGGCTGATGGGATCCACACAGTTGGAGCGCTGTCTAAATGGGAAAGCAATTTGTTTGCGGGCCCCTCTGCTCGACAGCGTGGACAGAAACTAATCGATATACAAGGCAGTTGGCACTACTGTCGCTTGTTGGGGATGGCGCAAGCCGAAGCCGAAGCAGAAGCAGAAGCAGAAGGCAGGGGGGCGTGGCCGTGGTCGTCGGCGTGGGCGTGGGGGTGTTGCATGCAAATGGAATGACGCAGTGCAGAAAGTGGCGAACGGAAAGAAGGACGGGGGCACAATAGAGAATCGAAATGGCAGACAAATAAAAAAAAAAAAAAACAGAAAAAACATCCCTCGGCCCCCCTCTGACACATGCCCCATCCACAGGCAGAGGATCCATCCTTTGGAGCCGTGTCGAAAGCAAATTAACTCAACGAAACTGTTTATGGTCTAAAATTAAACCCGACCACGCCCCTCCACACCCACACCCGCACCCACACCCCACACCCCATTTTTCATTTTCTATTCTCCATTTTCCTCGTGGAAAAATAACGAATAAATGAATGAATCATTGAACAACTGATTCGTTGGAGCCCCCTTTATTTTTGTTGTCTTTTGTTTTGGGGGTCGAGGGGAGACGATTGAGTATTGATGGGCAATAATTTTGCCAGGTCTTTCGGAAACGGAGAATCATTGAGTACGAAACGTGGGAGTATTTCGAGTCCACAAATCTTTGCGGCATGCGGAAATGTAT